CATAAACCTCAGTTATGATATAAACTTCATCTTAAGACACATGACAGAAGTGAAAGGAACTCCCATCATTAAAGGTTCACGAACAAAGCAAATAACTGGCTTATATAAAGGAAGGGCAATTATTATTAAAAAGACTCTTACAGTGTTAAAATAAGAAAGCTTAAACTATTTCCTGCTATGTTTAACTTACAAACAGGAACCGAAAGAAAGTATTTCCATATAACTACTACAAGCAGTGTTTTTGTTAGCAAATGACAACAGAACTGGTTCATTTCTGAAGCATGTTAAGTTTTATCACGGGATGGCAGATACTATTGAAAAAACATAGATTCCATCAAAGGTTGCAGAATAGATGAGAACCACTTCGACTTAGAAAAATATAGCACATTTTATTGCAAACAAGATGTAAGAATTTTAAGAGAAGGTTTTGTTAAGTTCTCGCAATGACATATTGAAGAATTTGATTTAAACGTTTATGACTACGTTAGTATTTGTTCATATTGCTAACAAATTATTTGAGAACAGAGTGTACTCCCGAATGGAAATTTATATGACCTCTCAAATAAACCAAGAGAATTTATTTCGAGATGCAATTCAAGGTGGAAGATGTTATGTTGTCAGATAACATGAAACAAAAGAGCGAAAGAAACTCATTGCTGATTCGACGCTGTTTCATTATATCCATCAGCTATAGCAAGACTTTATACTTTAGAAGGTATTCCAAAGGTTATGAAGGAGAAGAATGTTAAGCACAGAGTATCTCATGAGACATTTATTCGATGACGACCAAAAGAGAACCCATTGGTGAAAAGTTTATGTCTGGCTTCTTTGTTCTCATTAAGATAACAGAGATTGGATACATAGACACTTTCCTTTAATAGTTTGTGACCCTGAACATAAATCCAGAACTTAAGTTCCCAGAAGTTCAAACACTTGCTGTTTAATGTATGTTGACCATATAACATTACAAGACCTCATAAAATATCAAGGTGTCAAATGTGAAGTGTTGCAAGGAACTATTACGATGGAAACAGAGATATTAGAATAGAGAGATGAAGTAAAGAAGTTGTTTGATTAGGTTAAAGTATAAGAAAGAAGGAAATCCTTTGCAAGAAAATATAAAGCTCATTCTGAACAGTATTTATGGCAAAACTTATTCATCTCCTATTGAGTCAAAAATAACCATAGTAGTAAATGACAAAGATGCTATAAGATATGCCATCAGAAACTACAACCATATAGTGAAGTTCGAAGGTTTGGATGGTTCAGATAAAACAATTTTCAAGCTAACGAAAAGCATTTGCAGACACTTTAACTTCTGTCCACTTGGTGTAAAATATCTTCTATGTCCGTAAATGAGATATTAACTGTTAGACGATATAAACATCAAAGAAATAGAACCCGACATTAGTTGCTGTGGTGTTTCATATAATGTCATTGACAAGATATACGTTATGAAAGGAGGTGAAACGTTGAACTTAAAGTATAGTTTCCCAGACGTCATAAAAATATTTGACGACCACAACATTTCATTAAAATTTATTTGCTAAGTAAATGGCAGAAGATATAATGGTTTATACTATTACGACTAAAAACCCTGAGTCATATAATTCTATAACAACAAACTTACAAAGTCCTCAAGGACGGTATTGTAAACTAACTTTAAACACAATGACGACTAAAGCCTGTTTTGCTCTTTTGACACCAGAAGACTTTATTGTTGTGAATGGTAAAAAATACTCCTTTGAAGATACTTACTCAGATATACCACCAACAGGTTTTGTTGACTTATTTAATACTTTAAGGACGGGTGTAACATGTGCTGCAACTAGAGCAGGTTTCATTATGTTTGGATGTCCGACTGAGTTTACTATAAACGATATGAGCTATAATACAAAACTTATTTCTGGTTTTTACTACAACAGTTTCCTATAACAGGAAAAGGTGTCATACAAGGAATGTCTATTCCATTGACATTAAGCACACCAATCTTATATATTGTTTCAAACTTAGGTTCAAAGTGTTATTCGAATGTCGACAGAAACTATTATGACCAAAAGATACTTATGCGTATAAACAATACTTTCTCTGCTGGTTTGCCTATTGTTCATTCGAATGCAGAATTTTCAACCTTAGTGAACTCAAACACTTTGGCAAGTATAACGTTGACATTAGTTGACGCAAACTTTGTTCCTGTAAAACTTTTATGTCCTATGTATTTGTCAATGACGGCAGAAAGTTTCGAATTGGAAGATGCAACTGGTGAAAGTATTGTATTACAAGAACAACTTCAACAAAAATAGCTCAAGAACAACAAATGCAACAAATGCAACAACAAAGGCAAGAATAAAAAAAAATTTTTTTTTATTTTTAAAAAATGTACAGAATAGATGTTTCAGATTTTTATGACTTCCAAGCATTCAGAAATATGTGTCCATTTCGAGACTATAACAAAGCAGTCGAGAATTTGAAACGTTTAGTCATTTATGTCGACTCTGCCCCAGAATGTTATGTTATGAAAGAATGGGATGTAGTCTTTAACAAACCTAAAGCGACAATAGTTTCAGACAAGAATGTAGACAGAAACTTAAGAAAATAAAAGTTGTACAAGTTGGCATGAAGATGTTAGATGCTTGGGATATCTTATTATCAAAGTTAGAAGATTTTTCAGTTCGAGGTATAAAGTTCTATACACCTTCTCCAAACTTCTATTCTATCTTCACTGGATATAAATATGAACAAGTAGAATGGAAAGAAAATATTATAGAAGCTTGGTTAGACCATGTCAAAGAAATTATATGCAATGGAAACGAAAGAGTCTATGAGTATATCTTATGTTGGTTTGCAAACATCTTACAACATCCAAGTGCTAAAAATGAAACTGCTCTCATTATAATTGGAAAACAAGGAACAGGTAAGAACACATTCTTTACAGATGTCTTATGCAAACTGTTAGAAGGCTATTCGAACCCGAATATGACAAACTTAGAAAACATCTGTGGCAAGTTTAACTCCTCAATAGAGAATATGAAACTTATAGTTTGCAATGAACTTCAAAGTATAGATACAACAAAAGTTTTGAACTCAGATGCTTTGAAGAGTCTTATAACAGACAAAGTTGGAGTTGTTGAAAGAAAATATAAAGACCAAAGAGTTTGTGAAAATGTTGCAAACTTCATTATGGTTTCAAACAATTCTGTTCCGATGAAGTTAGAAAGTTCTGACAGAAGATATGTAGTTGTCAGAACGTCAGAAGCTCATATGCAAGATACAGAATATTTTGACGACTTAGCAGAAACTTTGACATCTGACTTTTACAACCACTTGTTCTCATATTTCATGACATTAGATATTTCAAAGTTCAATCCAAGACAAATTCCACATACCGAAGAGAGACAAACATTGTTAGAAAGCAAACAAGAGTGTATATGAACTGTTCATAGATGAAACTGACTTTGTGTCATTAGATGAAAGGTCATTGTACGATTCGTATAAACAATATTGTCAAGAATATGGTTATATGACAGCGTCTAAACGAACATTCTTGGCAAATGTCAAAAGTCTTTTAGACGTACAGAATGGTGTATATACAAAGAAAATTTTTTATGAGTAAATTTAAAAAAAAATATTTTTTTATCCGATAGAAAAGATGGCAAAATTCATCTCAGTAAATAAGTACATGTCAGGACTTAAAGAAGAACTAGACCCATTCACATATTTGAATGTTTACTTCTACCATTTTGAAAAGTCTTCATTCAGCAAAGTTTGGAACATCGAACCAGTTAAGTTTGCTATTGTGACTAAAAATGGTGCGAAATTTGAAGACTTAGACATAGAAGGTTTGTTAGCAGTCAAAGAAAGTTTTGACAGAAGGTTTTCAAACCTTAAAGAAGGCAAAGCATACAAACTTGTTATACCTTATGAACCAAAGAAAGCAGACGACTATGAATATTATGAGTCTAAAGTTGTAGAAGTTCAAGGTAAATTGGGTAAAAAGATTTTAGAGTCTAAGCCAGTGTTTACTCCTAAAGAGGAAGAGAACATTGACATTGACCCAGAAATGTTCTAAAAATAAAATTTTATTTTTACATGTCAAATTTCTTTTTCTCTGGAACTGGTTCAGGTTCTTTCTTCTCTTCTTCTACTTTCTTTTCTTTCTTTTCTTTCTTCTTCTTTTCTGGTGGAGTTATGTCAAATTTGGCGCAACTATATTTATGTAAAAGTTCTTTGTCCTTTAATAGCTCTTCTATTCTGTTTTCTATTTCATCTTCAAGAACAGCGCATGTGTCTTCTTTGCATTCTAAGAAGTTTTGTTGGACTTCATCTCTCCAAGAGGCGTCATCTCTGTCAACAAGTCTGTCATTGACAAATTTTAAGACTTCTCTGCTTAATGTTTTATGGTTCTTGTCATATTCCCAGAAACAGAACTTTAGAACAAATTCACCTTTCTTGTTTACACTATGTAAGATTTTATGGTCGACAGATGTTTTGCTGTCGAAAAGCTTGTCTCGAATATAGATAGCGAAATCGCTAGACATTTTCTAAAAGATAAAAATTTTAATTTTTCTAAAAATATGTTAGAAAAAAAGTTTGCTGACATTGACAAAAAATTTGAGAATGTTTTAAACAAGAACAAGAGGAAGTTAGAAAATGCTCAGATAAAACCTATACATGACAAGTTCTTATTTGCTCAGAATGGTATAACAGGTCTAATTGCACCACCTGGGTCGGGTAAGACTTTCACTTATCTTAAAATGGCTGCACAACAACAAGAACTAGATGAGAAGAACGCCATTCTATGAGTTAGTTGTCATTTGTAGTACTTCTGGTCAATTTGACCAAACGTCAATTCGTTCAAAGATATTATAAAGAAGTCTAAGTTAGTATGTATAAAAGACTCTGAGTTGTTAGATTGGATAAAGAAGTACCAAAGAAGAGTTTTGAAGTATAATGCTATAAATGAGTATATAAATTCTAAGTTTAAAGACCCAAATGAGGAAATGCAGAGAATATTAGAGAAGAAACACTTCAGAAACAAACAGAAAGAGATAGAATACATTTCGAAGAAATTGCAATCTTACGATTGGAAGACATACCCTCATAGATGTCTTCTTATCTTAGATGACTTTGCTTCTCATCCTTTGTTAAAGAACAGAGAACAAGATATGTGTCGAATTCTTAAGAAACTTAGGCACTTTAACATCTCAGTTGTCATTTGTGTACAGACAGCAAAGAGTTTAAGTAAGGATGTTAAAAGAATACTTACTGACATTATACTTTTCCCCGGATTGTCCGAAGACGATTTCATGGAACTTATGAAAGAGTCCATGGCAGGTAAGTTTGACAGATATGAACTATGGGAGAAGTACAAAGTCATACAAGACCCTCATACTTCTTTCAGAATTCATATCTACGCGAACAAAGTTCAAATTGTAAAAAGTCAAGCTTGAAAAATAAAGAGTTCATTTACTCTGCTTGTTTGAAGTTGTCAAAATACTCTGTTATTTTTCACTGTTTTCATGAGTTTTGGCGACTAAGGTTTCTTACCTACTCGCTGTGCTTCACGATTTTCATAGAGTTTTGGCGACTAAGGTTTCTTACCTACTCGCTGTTCTTCACTGTTTTCATAGAGTTTTGGCGACTAAGTTTTTTTACGTACTCGCTGTTCTTCACTGTTTTCATAGAGTTTTGGCGACTAAGGTTTCTTACCTACTCGCTGTGCTTCACGAGTTTCATAGAGTTTTGGCGACTAAGGTTTCTTACCTACTCGCTGTTCTTCACTGTTTTCATAGAGTTTTGGCGACTAAGTTTTTTTACGTACTCGCTGTTCTTCACTGTTTTCATAGAGTTTTGGCGACTAAGGTTTCTTACCTACTCGCTGTGCTTCACGATTTTCATAGAGTTTTGGCGACTAAGTTTTTTTACTTACTCGCTGTTCTTCACTGTTTTCGTACGGAATCTCTTCTCTCGGTTTTCCGAGGGAAGCAATCTTATGCCATTTTACTCAGATTTTTGTGCTGAATTCAGCAAAAATAATGTTTAGGGTAGAAGGTTAGATCTCACCTGTTTTCTCACCTCATGAATTTTCATGATTTCATCGTACATGTTTTGTCAAGACTTCTTCGTACATGTTTTGTCAAGACTTCTTCGTACATGTTTTGTCAAGACTTCTTCGTAAATGTTTTGTCAAGACTTCTTCGTAAATGTTTTGTCAAGACTTCTTCATCGTAATGAGCGTATATGTTTTGTCAAGACTTCTTCGTAAATGTTTTGTCAAACATGAACGTATATGTTTTGTCAAGACTTCTTCATCGTAATGAGCGTATATGTTTTGTCAAGACTTCTTCGTAAATGTTTTGTCAAACATGAACGTATATGTTTTGTCAAGACTTCTTCATCGTAATGAGCGTAAATCAGACAAAAATATATTTTAGGGTAGATGGTTAGATCTAACCTCATTTCTCACCTGTTTTCTACCCCAGTTATTTCACAAGCGTTTTACATGAATTGTACGATGTATATTTGAAATCCTAAACAGTTTTGTAGCTTCTATTTCTTCTTTTAGTACATCGAATGTTTTAACAATGCCGAAAGTTTCTTTATATTTCTTCTTGACATCAGATAGAAGGAAATCGTCAGCAGTTGGATAGTTTTTGTCAAGACTTCATTGTAAATGACCAAAAATATATTTTAGGGTAGATGGTTAGATCTAACCTCATTTCTACCCTCTTTTCTAACATGGTCTAAAACACACAAAACTCGTGAATTTTCAAGACTTCATCGAACTTAAATGTTTTGTCAAGACTTTGTCATATGATTGCTTCTCTCGGTTTTCCGAGGGAAGAGATTCCATGTTTTGTCAAGACTTCATTGTAAATGACCAAAAATATATTTTATGTTAGCATGTGAGATCTCACCTGTTTTCTCACCTCTTTTCTACCCCAGTTATTTTATAAGCGTTTTACATGGTAAACGTTATGAATTCGTGAGACTTTAAACAGTTTTGTAGCCTCTATTTCTTCTTTTAGTACATCGAATGTTTTAACAATGCCGAAGGTTTCTTTATATTTCTTCTTGACGTCAGATAGAAGATATCTCTCTGCGTTTGGATAGTTTTTGTTCAGAAATTCTAACATGTCCATTTTATTTTCTGCTGGTTTTTCTGCTTCTTTCTTTAAATCTGCATAGTCGTTTCTCATTCTTTCTATCTCTTTGACGGAGTAGTTATATCTCCTCATTGCTGCTTTACATTTAGAACATGCGGGTTCATTTTTGCGTTTATATTCTGAAACCTTACCAGCTAAAACAACTAAAGCGTCAATTGCTCTCTTCATCTCAAACATAGCGGGTCTTATTTGTTTGTTCCATACTTTGCCTCTTCTATCTTTATCTTATCTGCCATACACATTCAGCAACTAACGAAACAAAGTTGTCGTAGGTCTTAAATTCTTCAGATTTATATATGTCAGAAACATTCTTATATACCATGTCGCAATCTTTGTCCATAACCTTATGGTTGCAATGAAATCCTAGAAACTCATAGTTTACCTTTCGTATGAACTTCTTTATTTCTACTGAGTCAGTTGCTTTGACTTCTATTTCATCGAATTCAGGAATAGTGAGTTTTTGTTGCTGAATTTCAGGCAATTTGGGTAAATGGTCAATAATGTCCTGCATTTCATAAAGATACTGTTCATTTGTTTCATCTTTCGCACTACAGTCTAAATTACTTGTTAAAAGTTCTTGCTTTATCTTCTGGATTTCTGTTTCAAAAGTATATGAAGAAGGAATGAAGCTTTTCATCTCTACTAACATAGATGTTGGATTCATGACTAAAGAGTTTGGTGCTGTAGTTGTTTGTATTGCTGTTGTGCCGATTGTTGACATTTTTATTTTTTCATACAAAATAAAAAAATAAAAAAAATAAAACTAACTTTATTTTTTATTTCGGGAAAATTCATGAAAATTCAAGAGGGTAGAAAAGAGGGTAGAAAACAGGTTAGATCTAACCATCTACCCTAAATTATATTTTTGGGTCCTTTACACTCATTACGAAGAAGTCTTGACAAAACATTTACGTTCATGTTTGACAAAACATTTACGAAGAAGTTTTGACAAAACATTTACGATGAAATCATGACAAAACATTTACGAAGAAGTCTTGACAAAACATGTACGTTCATTACGATGAAGTTTTGACAAAACATTTACGATGAAGTCTTGACAAAACATTTACGCTCATTACGATGAAGTTTTGACAAAACATTTACGAAGAAGTTTTGACAAAACATGTACGTTCATGTTTGACAAAACATTTACGAAGAAGTCTTGACAAAACATTTACGAAGAAGTTTTGACAAAACATTTACGTTCATTACGATGAAGAAGTCTTGACAAAACATTTACGTTCATGTTTGACAAAGCATGTACGTTCATGTTTGACAAAACATTTACGATGAAGTTTTGACAAAACATTTACGCTCATTACGATGAAGAAGTCATGAAAATTCAAGAGGGTAGAAAACAGGTGAGAAAACAGGTTAGATCTAACCATCTACCCTAAACATTATTTTTGCTGAATTCAGCAACAAAATGAACGAGGTCAGGATGTATGTAAATACATTTGAATTCATTCATAACACCCTTAGTAAGCTCATAAAATGCTTGTTTTGAGGTCGAGCCACTTTTGGCTCCACCGTATTCTTTCAACCAAAACTCAAGAATTTCCTGCATGAATTTTGTATAAAAAGCAACCGTCGGAATTCAGACTGTTGCTATATTCTTCACAAAACATTTACGCTCATTACGATGAAGAAGTCTTGACAAAACATTACGATGAAGTCATGACAAAACATATACGAAGAAGTCTTGACAAAACATTTACGATGAAATCATGACAAAACATTTACCCGACATTCTCGTCAAATACAAAAAAATGACACTTTTTCATTAGATAACTGTTATTTTTTGACGAAGTGAAGGTTGACACTTCGTCAAAAAAATCCCTGAAATCATATCTTACATACAAAAAAATACAAAAAAATGACACTTTTTCATTAGATAACTGTTATTTTTTGACGAAGTGAAGGTTGACACTTCGTCAAAAAAATCCCTGAAATCATATCTTACATACAAAAAAATACAAAAAAATGACACTTTTTCATTAGATAACTGTTATTTTTTGACGAAGTGAAGGTTGACACTTCGTCAAAAAAATCCCTGAAATCATATCTTACATACAAAAAAATACAAAAAAATGACACTTTTTCATTAGATAACTGTTATTTTTTGACGAAGTGAAGGTTGACACTTCGTCAAAAAAATCCCTGAAATCATATCTTTTATACAAAAAAATACAAAAAAATGACACTAACTTTATTTTCTGACTTTCACAAAAGACCAAAAATAAACGCTTTACATGTATTTTTCAGCAACTTCGTCAAATAATTTTATAGCTTTATCTATCTCATCTACTTCAAACGTTTCTTTACCTTTCGTGGGAGCACCATATATTTTCTCAAACTTTTCAAGTAGTTCTGTTTCTGCAGCTCTCATATCATTAACGAACACAACCTTGACTCTATTGACTGTAGAGTCATATCTTAGAGTTATATTATATGTTCTTCCTATCTTATATCTCTTTGTATTGAAGTCCTTCGGTTTCTGAACGATGTAAAGTAAGCCTTCACTGCAACGTTCCGTATCGAATGAACCATATGTTATGAAGTTATATCCAACAACTGGGTCTAACCAAACAAAACTATTGGTATAAGACTTTTGTCTATAAGATATGCTGTAGTTCCATAGAATCTTACGATATTAAAAGCTCAGGATTTCTTGTCAAAATTTTCTGAGTAGAAGCAATTTTAACCCAGTCCTTCGTCTCTTTCCAGATGGAGATAAAAATGTCTGACAAAGAATATTTGTTGTATTTCTTTGAGTATCTTACGTTTAAATCACCTATTCTAACCACTTTGGTGTCATTGTCTATCTTTCTAACTGTTTCAAACTCAATGTTTGTCATATATGTTCTTACATACAAAATAAAAAATAAATAAAAATAAACTAACTTTATTTTTTCTGTCTTAAGGAAACTCATGACAAATTCAAGAGGGTAGAAATGAGGGTAGAAAACAGGTTAGATCTAACCTTCTACCCTAAGCATTATTTTTGGGTCCTTTACACTCATTACGAAGAAGTCTTGACAAAACATTTACGAAGAAGTCATGAAAATTCAAGAGGTTAGAAAACGTGTTAGAAAACATGTTAGATCTAACATGTTAACATAAATTATATTTTTGGTCCGGGAACAACTTTCTCTCAATTGGAGCTGTGGCATACTCTTTGCGTAAACGGTTCAGACCTTCTTCGAACTCTTGGTCTCTCTTCGATTTGGATTGAGATTGGAATTGCTGGGGTGGAGCTTGCTGGAACATCCAAGGGTTGGGGAAGTAAGGCATAGGCTGAGGAGGGTAGTTCGGGAAGCCTTGTGGTGGGTAGTAACCTTGAAGTGGAAATTGGTAGAAATTTGGTGAGGTACTTGTGGAACTGAGGTTGCTGAGGAGACTTTGTGGTTCTTTAGGTTCCTCTGGTTTGGGAATGGACTGGGTTGGTGGGACGTGGGACATTCGTTTGTGTCCTGTCAGAAGGAAGAACTTTTCCTGTTGGAAGGAAAAACTTTTTCTGTCGGAAGGAAAAACTTTTTCTGTCGGAAGGAAAAACTTTTTCTGTTGGAAGGAAAAACTTTTTCTGAAGTTCGACCAAAAAGTTCTCAATTTTCGAAAATTTGAATGGTTTACGGACGGACAACTGGAAAAATTTTTTCTGTCGGAAGGAAAACCTTTTTCTGTCGGATGGAAGGACTCGGAATGCCAGAAGGATTTGACGAGGCAGTTTACCTAATTTAAATAAACGACTGCGTAAAAGACTACTTGCGCAAGGTCATGAAGCCCAAGGTCAAGTTCACCACTATTTCTGGAAGGGCTGCCTTGAATCTCGAGACTTCGACTGGAATTCCAATTCAAATACCAGAAAACACTCCTTTCGACGACATAAAGCAAGCAAAGAAAGAAGCTCGTGTTAAGTTCCTAAACAAACGTCCTTGGATACTACTTCCAAACAAGGAGAACCCCCTACCCCATATGAAATTGGCAATTCAGTCTCTCCTTCACTTCTCGGGTCAGCCGTTCTACATAACCTGTGAAGGCGACATCCAACCAGTTCAGTAAACCTTAACGTTTAACTTCACTTTTTTATGTTTTTTGTGAAAGTGTCAAAAATAAATTGTTTTCATGAGTTTCTACGATGTTAGAAAAAATGTTATTTTCTAATATCTTCACATTCAATACTTTTTCAGCACTTTTCCGTAGTTATATATGAAAGACAATTCGAGATAAAAGTCATAGTACAATGGAATAATATTTGCACACCATTTGTTGTGAACCAAACTTGAAAGTCAGAGAAACTGTTACTAGGTGGTTCGTAGAATTTAGAAGCAAAGTCATAAAAGTCCTTACCAATACATAGAAAACTATTGTTGCTTGAACTGAAACTTGCATGACACATAACATTTTGAGGGTCAAACACGTTTCTATAAACTGTCAAATCTGCTGGTGGAAGTATAAATTGAAATGGACCATCTGGTGGTAATGGTTCGTTCTGGTTTAGTACCGAAGAAATTGTGCCAAGAACGTTTGTCTACTTTCCAAAATAAAAACTCTGTATCTCTTGGAGGGTTAATTTCAATCTTTTGAAATGAAACGGTGGAGTTCATCTTGTCATATTCTAGTTTCAGATAGTATGTTCCATTTAGTAAAGAGTCGTATTTTTCTTGAAATTCCCAATAATATTTGTTCATTTGAGTTTGAAAGTCATTTAGAGTTTTCTCAAGACTTTCGTCTGAACGAACTGTAAAGATTCTCATTTCGTCAAATTTGTCTATTAGACCATCAGAACCTTTATACTGCCCATGAAAATATACTGCGAACATAAATGCGTTAGTTCTATTTGAAAACAAAACTCTTCTAAATCCTATTGCCTTTGCATCTGAAGGACTTTGAAGCCAACGAATTGGATAGTCAAACCTGTATACTCGGATGAAATTTCTTCATCTGAAATAGTCCTACCAGCATTTGTAAAGATATAGTCTAGGTTTTGTATCTGCTACTTTTGTTCTTTGTTTTTCAACCTGAAGCATTTAATATAGGGTGTCCAAAGGTGTGTTTAGCACAAACCTGAATACTGCGAATAGAAATAAACAAGTTACATATATATAAAGTTTATTTAAATATAATCACCATTGGATTCAATCACGCGTTCGCAGCGATCGATCCAGGCTTGAAAGACACGCTTTAAATCATCATGAGAAAATTGCTCAAATTGCTCTCTTACAAAATTTTCAAGATCATCTGGACTCGCGAATTCGCGTCCTTCAGCTCTCTTTTTAGCGTGCCGAATAAATAAAAGTCAGAGGTGCAATATCAGGTGAATAAATTGGGTTTGGAACAACTTTGACATTGTTTTCCACCAAGTAATTCATTACCTTATGACTTTTGTGAACTCTTGAATTATCAAAATGAATTGCAAACTTTTGTTTTTGTTGTTTGGATTTCTCAAACTCATCAGAATTGATAATTTGAGTAAGAACATTGTCAATTAGATACTGAGCATTCATCGTATTAGGTTTTTGAAGAATATCAATTGCGATGATGCCATTCACGCCCCAAAAAACCGACAACATCATCATTGGTGTGTCAATTTTTTTCTTCGGGAATGTTTGCGGATTTTCATCCTTCGGGATCCACATGATTTTGGCTTCTGTTGCATATTGAAACCAAGACTCGTCCCCTGTTACTAAAAAGCGAAACTTCTTGGATTGATACGCACCCAATATAGAGAGGAGCTCTTTCGAAGATTGGACTCTAGATTTTTTTTGAACTGAATTAAGGTTGTGCGGAACCCAACGTGTATACGCTAGTTTGTAGTTAAATAATTGTGCAGATAATAACTGACTGTTGTACGTGGTATCTTTGTCATCTCCTCTATCCTTCTGAGTGATGCTCTTGGTCTTCATCTAGCGCTTGAAGAATTGCTTTGATTTTTCTTTGATCGGCGATTTTTTGTCAATTTTTATGATAGGCGCCTTTTTGTTCATGAAGTGATACATCCTAACATGATACGTTACAGTGGAATAGCTAGGAGCATCCATACCGAAGCATTTTACCAATGTCTCGTAGATTTTTTTACAGTCTTTGCATTTTTTTGCAAGAGCGAGGATGTTTTCTTTATGATTCATTAAAAAAATGAAAAAAATCCCGCCAAAATTTCCCGCGAAACCACCTCTTGTCTCAAAATTCATTTTATATCCCGGCATGGCGCCAAAATACAACATACTCATCATATACATATATTCATATTTTTTATTATATATTTATAATCAGCATATATCTCCTTTAATAGTCTCATATAGAGCGCTGTGCTAAACGCACCTTTGGACACCCTATATATGTAAAAATATATTGTTTTAAAATGGTATGCCATTTCATATTTCTCATCTAACAAACAAGTTTCCCAACGGTCTTCTCCAACAAACTCAGCGTACATTTCAAATAAAATTAAAAAATGTCACTTTTTAAAAATAAATTTTTACTTCATGCAATGTTTAACACATCGAAAGGCATGTCCATAAGACGGTCTTCTTCTAACCTCTCTAGTCTGTTTGGATAATTTGCACGTGCTGTTTCCAAATCCATTTCGTAGCGAAGACCAGCCAGTTTGTCATAGACTTTTATGGGTCTTCCCTTCCTATATTTAAAATTCTTCGAAACTCTCCAACCATATCTTTGCAACTCTGCTTTATTCTAGCAGATTTTCTATCCATTCTATATGGGGGCATTTTTATAAAAATAAAAAAATATTTTTTTTTCTTTACTTTACATAACCGCCTGCTGCCATAAGTCTTTGACGCCAACCCATACCAGCTAATGAAGGTTGACTTGGTTTAGTTTCCAAACTAAACTTTGGTTTTGGTTTATCTTCTGTTTTTGGTTTTTCTTCTTCTATCGGTTTTTCGTCACTTTTCGGTTTCTCTGACTTTACTTCACTTGCAGGAACAGTTGTGTCGTCAACATCTTCATAAATATCATATGCCATTTGTTTTTGTTTTCCTTTCAACTTTTTGTGTTTGTTGTAAAGTTTAGAATATTTCGACTCTAAGTCAATGAGATGTTCTATAATGAACTGTTGGTCAGTGAAGTAAACTTTTCCATCTGTTGTCTCGAAAGCTCCTTCAGACTTCAATATTTTATTTGTGAGAGTCTGTTTCTTTTTTGAGATACTTGCCGTTCCATTTTTATGAAAAGTGACTTTGTAGTTAGGGTTTGTATTTCCAGACCTGGCACTTTCTATTATTGAATTTTTCTCTTCATCTGTAAGTTCTTTGACAGGTTTTTGACAATGGTTCTGAACTTTTTGTTTGTGGTGTCAAATCTACCGTTTTAACTTCTTCGGTCATTTCATCTCAGTAAAAAATTTTAGTTTGGTTTGTTTTCAACTGGTTGTTGTTGTTTTTTAAGTCGGTCTAAAACTTCCTGAGGTATAGGAAGAACTTGACAAACACGTTGTGTAACTGCTGGAAGCCGACAAATCCATCTTGAACCCATTTGTCTCAATGCTGTATTGTTCATTTCATCTCAGTAAAAAAACTTTACATTCCCCACGTTTGAGGCGGTTGAGGTTGGTTATTGTTTACCCATTGTTGTGCATGGTTATATCCTCTGTTAAAGAATCTTTCACCTTGGTCCATATAGTGTCCTGCTTGGTTATAGTAGTCATTTGCTTTGTTATAATAGTTTCCTGCTTGTCTTCCTACATTGTCCATCCATCCTTGAACTTTTCCTCTTGTTTCAGGATTTGGAATAAGATTTGTTGCATCTCGTGCTACATCCCAACCTTTCTGTACAGTTTGTATAATAGGTTGTGCTTTCTCTTTAAGTATACCTAATGTACTCAAAATCTTCCTTCCAACTCCAAATACACCTCTGGCTATTGTTCCCACTGCGGGCAAAAATCTGGATGCAACTCCTGCTAATGCGCCAAATAAACCCATTTCTTATAGGATAAAAAATGACGAATCCAAACAAGGACCCCTATGTTTCTAAAGCGACAAAGAAAGCACTCATGATAAAAATCTTTAGTTCAACACCAAATGCTTGGTTTATGATATCTTGGAAAACATTCCGAGAGTTAGAACAGATGGACCACCATACTGGCTAATATTTGTCGGTCAAAACACAAGATACTGTGAAGCCATACCATTATGGTCCAAAAATATTTTAGATGTGAAAACTGCTTTGACAATATTCGTTGACAAATACCATCCAACAAAACTGACATCTGACTGTGAAAGTTCTTTCAAATCAGATGATGTAAAAAACTATCTGCGTTCAAAAAATGTAAACCAATATTTCATTGTCGACCAAACCATTCTGCTCTTGTGTCATTGACGGTTGTATAAAAATGTTAAGAGACTAAACCAACCACAAGGTGGTGAAGCAAATGAAATGTCATATGACGACAAATATAGACACTTCTCCATGGCAAAGATGAGACAAGTTTTAAATATTTACAATAGCCGTAAACAAAAAGGTTTGGGAAACCACTCCCCGAAGAAATGAAAAACAACCCTGACTTAGAGAAAGACTATATATTTAATAATTTAGTCAAAAGAGACAAACAAGAAAGAATGCCGGGCTTCAAACTTCAGAAAGGTGACAAAGTAAAAATAGAAATACCTAAACGCGACCCATATGAAAATACTATTGACTATGACAACAATGGGAACCCGACAGGTACTCACATTCGTGTTCGTAAAAATAGAAGAAAGTATACAAGAGAATATTATGAAGTTTTAGGCAAACATGGCAAAATGTACACACTGCAAGCAGAAGATAAAACTACTATTGTCAGACCTCGTTTCAAACTTGTCAAAGTTCAAGGTGGTATACTTTCAAAAGACAGTTCCTAACAAATATAAGACAACTCCTGACGAATATGCTAAAGAAGTTGAAAATGACGACTAAAGCATTTCTATACCATGCGTAAACTGTCATGTAAGGTGGCATGTATTCTTTACTTTGTCCCGTTGTTTGCGTATATCCTGAAACGCGATGTGTATGGTATCCTCCTCCCTCAGTGTTACTCCAGTAACAATTTATAGCAAACTTAACGTTGTCTTTAACATCATATCCTTTACCTTTTGTCATTCCTGACCAATCCCAAAATCTATGACTATGCCAACCTGCTTGAGATGTACTTAAATCTATGTAGTGACTATGTGCAGGTAAATTTTCACCTGAAATCGTTTTACTTCCACCTGTTTCCTTTGAAGAGTTTGCACAATACAAAAACCTGTCGACTATTTGAGTCCAAGTTCCAAAACCCAGAACTGTTTCTGGATTTGTTGAGTTCATTGACGTATAAATAGAGCCTATAGGATATAATGTTTGAAGTATTTCTGTCTTTAATGTTTGAAGCTCTGTTTTGTCTGCTTTCTTATCTAACATTGCGGGTAGTTCATATGCTTCAAAGTTTCTGGCATGACTTTCAATGTTCCTGCAACTCTTATCTAAATTGTTAAGAGTATCTTTTACGCTTGTACTCGGATTTTCTAAAGGTGCACTTGAACCAAGGTCAAAGTTCAGTATTATGTCATCTGCTCTAACAGTTGTAAAACTTGTATGTGTATGAGTCTTATTTGCTTTCTTCTCTAACTCATCGTTAACATAAGTTTTATCTGCTTTAAGGTCTAAACATCCTGAAACCCATCCTGTATCAGCTTTAGTTTTTAAAATCTTCGATGTCCATTCATGATACCATTCAGCCCTTTCTTTAATTTCATTATCTTTTTCATCCACATATTCCTTATCTGCTTTCTTCTCTAACTTACTAGCCACATATTCCTTATCCGCTTTCTTTTCAAGGCTAACGTTTAAGTCTGTTATTTCAGATATAGAATGTATATGAGTCTTTTTAGAATATTCGTTTTCAGCTCTTGTCACTTCACTTGACATTTTATTGTCAACATATGTTTTGTCTGCTAGTTCAGGATGAGTATGTTCTTTTGTTGCATAAGCATTGTTAGCTCTTTCTTCTTCTTTTGCTATTGCATCGTCTACATATTCTTTGTCAGCTTTGTTGTCAACATCTGCTTTCAAAAGAAGTTCATTTATAGGTTTCTCGTTTAAAGTTCCTTTTGTTGGATTTATACAGACAGTATTGTTCTTCTTGTCTTGAAATAGAAACTCATCTGTTAAAGGGTTTAATGTCAGTTTTAAGTTTCCTTCTTTCAATGACTCAGATATCTTAGAATAGTTTGAAAAGTTTGTTGTGTTCTTATTTAGAGCTTGCATAATGAGTTGTCGGTTGTGTTGTATTTCTCTCATGGAAGCAATATCTTTCGACATTTTTATTCTAGATAAAATATGCTTCCAATAGAAAAAGAAAATTCAAGAGTTGCTACAACTAAACCATTAGATGAACTTTTTACTAATGTCGGTCAAAAGTTTGAGACAGAGACCGTAAAGCATGAAGGCTATCGTTTTGACTACCCATTAAGATGGCTAAGAGACCCATCTGTCACAAAAGCTATTGGCTTTCGTAGAATGAAGTTCATTTCAGAAGCCATACATGGTTTCCATTTACGGTCGGTTTTGAAGTTCGATACTATAACAAAGAAAAACGTATGTATGAGAAATTTGAACAGGGAAAACTTTTACAAGTTAGTTTGCTTGTAAACTTAGAAACAACTCTTCAAGCTTTTCAAGAAAAAATAAACGATATCTATATCGAATATGCAAAACAGTATAACATTGACGAAGGAGAATACCATCTCGATATTATTTATGACAGGAAAAAATGCAACTGTTAAAATCAATAGAATAGAAGACCTTGGAGAAAACGTTTATATTTCTACAAAATATAACAACTTGGCATGGTATAGATTTATGAGGATGTTAAATCAGCCTGCAGCATATCCAGTACACCCAGACTTTTATGAAGTCGAAAACCCTAATGGAACATATGAAAATATTTTCGACCAGATGCTATTATTGTTCATGCTTCATTTTCTGGTGCGCAAAACTCTTTCTTATGTCTGATGAATGATTTTTACGAAAAACCTACAAAGTTATACGAACCACCAAGTGGAAGTATTTCAGACTTTCAAGTATGGTTTACTACAGATGGAAGAAAAAGAATAATTCCATTATACCATGCGTTTTACTTAGAACTTAGTTTCATATACAACTACTATCGAACGGTAAAAATATAATTTTTTAATACGGTTGAGGTGTTGGATTTGGTTGCCAACTAGACTGTGGTGCAGGTTCAGGCTGTTGTATAACAGGAGCTTGTTCTTCTGGTTCAGGGTCTTTAGGTATAATACCAACAAACTGACCTACTCTTTTACCAATATTTTTGACACCGTTCCAAATTCCTCTTCCTACGGTTTTTATTCCATTCCATATACCTCTTCCAACATTTCGAAAGAAGTTTCCTATCTTACTGAAGAAACCCATTTTACTATATGTAAAAATCTAATGTCCGCCTAGTCTCTTACGTTTCCTGTTGAGTTCCATAGCACTCTTTAACTGGAGCTCATACATTCTGTTTCTCCTCTGGTAGAAAACATATTCTGGGTCAACTCCTGTGTTCGCGTCATCTGCATAAAGTTGTTTATATCCCACTTCAGGGTTTGTATAAAACTCTTTCCATCTCATATTTGCATACCATGGTGGCAAACCTAACGCAGCGTCATTTGACATGGCAGTTTGCATTTGTACATCTGTTGGACTTGACCATAGTTTGCCATTGCAGTTTGTATTCTAACTTCATTTGGAATATTCTCTGGGTTTGGTTGTCCAGGTTGCTGTGCATTCGCTAAGTTCTGTGCGTCCATTTAATATTAGATAAAAATATCTCTTACGAGTACATATGCTGAACATTTGCAGGCATTGGTTCATCTTCATATTCTCTGTACTTTTCTGCCACGTCAAAGAAATAAATGACACAATGGAAAAAACCTAAAACAAGTAGTCCTATTTCAAACCACATTTACTTACTAATAAAATTTCTTTGTTATGACACTTTCTCCAGTTTATAGGACCTCTCTCATATTCTATCTTGTCATATATAAACTCATAGTCATGTATGTCCTCTAACCATCTCATAACGGTTTCCAAACCACTTTTATCGGATGTAAAGTAAAAGCATGGATGGTTATGTATAACGTCTAAAGTTTCTAAAGAGTCTCTCAAAGTCCAGTCTACTTGGTATTGAAAATCCCATGTGTTATAGAACAGCGGGTCCACTATAAAGAAAACATTTTCCTTGTCTTTATATTTTTCATACAACTCTGTCCAATAACATCTCACAAACTCTATACCCTCAATATATTTTTCTATGTCCTCTTTGAAAACATTTGTATAGTTAAGATATAAAACTTTTGACATAAGTGTTTCAATGTCATGAACTCTTATAGAACCACTATATAATAGTCTAGCAGATATACTATCCCAGTCTATATATTCTGCTTTTTTCAAAACCTCTCTCACAATATTTTTCTTATCTAATGGTATACGTTCCATCTTACCTATAGGTATCTTTTCTTTTAACTCTTTCAATATATTGTTTGTGTCTGGAATATGTTTGAGACGGTCCATATAGTTGTCGAAGTCATTGCATATAATCTTTGAGTCTGGGAATATTGTATGGCACAAATGGGATATATAGAAACTTCCACCGAACAAATCTACAAATGTTAGACCATTCGGTAGTTTCTTAAGTTCTCTCAATATAATATCTTTACATTTACTCTTATTTCCAAAGAACGGTAACGGTGGTTTTGTAAAATTCATTTATATATAATAATAAAAATGTTTTTTTCCCTGAAAAGTGACAGAAAAGTGACAAAGCATGAAAACATATATAATTTGTGAAAAGCGACACATTATATAATGTTTTCGACCCAGAAGAAGGCTTCTTCCCAGAAGCAATGGAGGAAGAAGAAGAGTCCTCCGAATTCACACCAGAAGACTAACAATTTTCCGAATAAAAACTTCATTTATACTAAACATCTTCGGGGCTAGAGGGCACGAAGTGCCTGGAAGCCCCACTACCTTTTTTTTTTTCAATCACTATTTCTTTTTCTAAAAGTATATTTTTCAAAAAAAATTAAGATCAAATTCGACAATTTCTTGATGAAAGCAAAAATATTACACATACTTCTAGATGCATGGGATAAAATATGCAATTATTCAATCAAGTCGCATGATTTGAAAAAAAAAATCTAAATTTGATAAAAATGTAGAAATTTTTTATTTTTAACTTGAGATTCGATTTTTTTGATCCAATTTGTGAATTTTTTTTGATCGGAATTTCAATTAATTTGTTGATCAAAAATGACCTCACAATGTTTGATCATAAGTGAAGTCATCTTCATGGGTATTTAGAAATTCCAAGAGAAATTGCTTATTTCTCGCAGATGTAATATCTGAGAAAATCGAATTTAAATATTCATAGAAACCCAAATCATTCTCCGGTTCGAATAATTCATCTGTTGCTTTTTCTGTTTTTTCTATGAATTTTAATAATTTGATTAATAAATCTTCATCAGGAAGAATTATTGCTGCATTTGTGATAAAATTCCATATTGAGGTAATATGGCAATAATTACATTTATAAAATGTAATTTTATCCAAAATTTTTTGGCAAATTTGCATAATAGCATTAATATTTGAAGCTGAGATTAAACCTGTGATTACTTCTGTAACTTTTGGAAAATCATCGCAATTTAATATCTCTTTATATTGAATTGAGAAATAAAAAAAATCAAATGGATTCATTTCTTCAATTTCAAGGAGATTGTAAAAATTGATAGAAGTGTTATTGCAACAAATTGTATTTGCAGCAAAAAATATCATTTGCTCGATTCCATTTTTGGAATAAATTTGCTGGAACAATGTTAAATTAAAACAGTTGCTTAATTTTTCTTCATTGTTTTCATAAAAAAGTAACAAGTTTGCAACTGAAATTTCAAAATTTTGATAATTGCCAGTTATTTCAGTAAATATATATATTTGCTTTTCTTCATCTAAAAATGGCAAATATTGATTTGCAATATTAACTAAAGTTTAGTAGTATATATGATGGGTTGTGTGACTTTTTTTGTAAACGTAAGAATTCATACAATATTGAACGATTTTGTATCATTTTTTTTAACATATGAAGTAAAAAATGTATGATTCTTACGGTTTTTATTCTTACGTTTTTGAATAAATCAAGAGTTAAAAATATTCAAAATTGTAAGACATTTACACTCAGCCCATACATAATGTAATAAAAAATAATTTTTTTAAAAAAATAAACCATTAAAAATTCATGTCTTACATTTATGAAAATTTATTTTTATTTTGTATGAAACCGATTTTAAAAATTTATGAATAATTTATAAAAAGTTTTTATTCCTACAATTCCTATATTACCATTAATAAAAAGAATATATTTTATAATAGTTTCATTTCGAACATGTTAAAATTTATCTGCACTTCGAAAAATTTTATTATAAATGATAATATAATTTATTAAATTAATATATAACTTATGAATTTTTACTTTTTGTATGAAATAAAATTTAGTATTAATAAAGTTATAAAATAAATTGGTGCATGTTAGATGTAAATAAGATATAAAAAGGTGTTTATGAATACTTTAGCAGAACTTCTACTGGTAGAGTTTATACTGGCAGAACTTCTACTGGTAGAGTTTATACTGGCAGAACTTCTACTGGTAGAGTTTATACTGGCAGAACTTCTACTGTTTCCCTCAAAATTGAATACTTTAGCAGAACTTCTACTGGTAGAGTTTATACTGGCAGAACTTCTACTGGTAGAGTTTATACTGGCAGAACTTCTACTGGCAGAACTTCTACTGGTAGAGTTTATACTGGCAGAACTTCTACTAGTAAAGTTTCTACTGGCAGAATTTCTACTGGTTATATATGGTGTCAATTTTTTAAAAAATTTTGAATTCAATGAGTTATATCAAAAATAAAATTCTTGAATAGAGTAAAAAAATTTAAATAATTTATTTAAATATTTTCTTCTGACATTTTTGAATAATTTATTTTTTTAATTCGTAAGAAAATGAGTGGATCAAGATTCGTAACCGTCAATCAATTAATGGATGCTCTTTCACCAATTCTTGAAAATGTTAAACAAGTAGATGTTTATTTCGATGATTATGTAGAAAGTTTATATTATAAAGGTAAACATAATATTAAACCCATTGCTTTTGCATTTGATAATAAATTAATTGAAAATGCAAAAATTTGGGAATTAATTCCAGATATTGAATATATAACGAATATAACTAATAAATGGTTCAAACGAATTCCAACCACAAAAGTTCTTTGTAAATTAATGATCAAAACCGAGGCCAAAGAATTTCATGAATTTACATATCATCCAAATAAAGTTTCAGAACTAGAAAATGAAAAACTTCAGAAAAAATTAAACGATAGACTTTCAAATGATCGTATTGAAAAAATAAATAAACTAGCAGAAGTTGCATTTAATAATGAAATATTTGATGAATATAACCTTGAACTCAGTGATGGGCTTTAAGGACCCGGGCTCAACGAGTCATGATTTATGAAATCAATTATTTGATTTATTCTTTCTTCAATCTCTTCTATTCTTTTTGTTAAATCATCTATTTTCATTAATGAGGTGATTCTTGATTGAGGAATAGATTTCAAACTAACCACCCCTTTTATTTTTGAAATTTTGAATCCATCAACTTTAAACATTTTATTCAATTTACATGTTGTCAATTCTTCAAATAATTTTTTATTATTAGCATAATAGTCATTAAATTCTTCAACAGATGAAAAAATTTTTATTTCAGTAATTGGTTTAACAACGTTTATTTTTTGTTGAACATTTTCACTTTCATTTATTTCTTCCTCCTCTGTTTCATTTATTTTTAAAATTGGTTTCATTTATCATTAAATAAAAATTAGAATATAAGTGATGAAATATATTTTTTAATTAATATTAAATCAGAAATGGCGGCAGGATTCTTTAAAAAATTATGGGATGGAATTAAGAAAGCTGCGGGTTGGGTTTATAAAAAGGTTATTAAACCTGTTGCAAACTTTTTGGCACCAGTAGCGAAAACGGCAGGAACTATCATAGGTGGAGTATTAGGTACAAAGCAGGTAATCCGGCGATGGGAGCACAAGCGGTAACGCAATTGGTGGAATAGCTGAAGGAATACTTAATAAAATAGGAGGTAAATAGTGGAAAAATAAATAAATATTATTTTTATCTTAGTATCGGTTGTAGTCTTTGATAAACTTTTTCTCCTTTATTTAAATTCTCTTATTGGGCAGCTTTTGGTGTTATTGATTCAGCTATGTCACTAATTGCTTCTTTATTCTTAAATATCCAATTTGCTCCCTTCTTCAATGTTTCCCAAACTTTACTCGCTCCTCTTTTTACTTTATCCCACAGTTTCTTAAATATACCTGCAGCCATAGTTGATTATTTCATTAAAATTAAAAATTCATTTTCATCTTTTAATTTTGATTTTTTATTTAATCATAAATGACGACTAACTATTTGGTGCCAAACACTAAACCGGTTAATGGAAATGTGTTTCATTCATTCGAAAAGATAAATGAAATATTCGCAAAGAATGACGGTAGAAGATATTATAGAGAACTTGAAAGTTCATGCTATGACTCTGATGCTCCATATTTTGATGATAAACAAACTCATTTAAGAATTACAAATCCGGCTCATGATGTGAACCAATTAGGTGACACATATATTAAACGCAAAGTTAAAGCAACTCTAGTTTCAAATAAAGCTTTCACATGTGATACCGCTTTTAAATGCATGCGTTTATTCGTTGGTTACAAATCATCAAATCAAAGCTTTAAACAATTAGAAGTAGAAACCGAAAGAGGTGATGCCGGTTATCTTCAGATGGATTGTGCCCGTGAATCTTTCGCATTTGCAACATATAAACCAAAATCAGAAAGGAAAGTTAAAAAGTTTGTTCATTCGTTATATAATAATGTTCAAAAATATGATAACTCAGTATGTGGTAAATATATTGACCCTTCAGAAGTTTTCAAGAATGCAAATAAAGAAGTTGATGTCACTTTTGATTTGTTTTGGTGAAGATTCTAAAACTTTATCAAAAGGAATATTATGATGAATATGTTTTACCTTTATTACGTAAGCCAAAAATAACATTTGATATCAAACTTGATGACTCGTTTTTGATAACAGATATTAGACGCAAGGCTGAAAATCATCAGTATAAAAACAGTTCTGAAGTAATTGAGGATTTATCACGTGTAATCCGTTTTGTAGATTGTGGAAATAAATATTTCATTCAAAAGGACTATAATATCCACGACAAAATGAATCAAATATCATTCGTTCTTCAATCAAACATGAAAGAGTCACTCAAAATGATTAAATTATTTAAAGAAGAAGGTAAAACAACAACAGCATGGGATGTACTATTAAATCAATTATCCTCATTAACCGTTAAGGGTGTTTGCTTTAAATCTGATTCCCCAGATGTTTTCTCAACGTTTCAGGGTTATAAATACAACATTCTCGAAAAACCAGATTACTCAAAAATTGAGATGTTTATGAATTTCATTAAAGAAGCCATTTGTGATAATAACGATGAAGTGTATAAATACCTTCTCGGCTGGATTGCATCAATGATTCAACATCCTGGAATCAAGAATGAAACAGCAATTATTTTGAAAGGACTTCAGGGAACAGGTAAAAACAGATTTACAGACATTATTTCTGAACTCCTCGCCGGTTATTCATGTAAAAACATTACTGAAATAAGTGAGCTAACGGGTAATTTCAACTCAGTTGTTGAAAATAAAATGTTTCTTGTACTTAATGAACTCAAGAATGTTGGTGAAGACAGACTCGCAAACTTCAACGCTTTGAAATCAATTATTACGGATAATGAGATTAGAATTAATGAAAAGAATCAACCTAGAAGAACAGCACAGAACGTTGCAAACTTCATTTTCGTAACTAATAACGTTTACCCTGTCAAAATTGAAGTTGGAGACAGAAGATATGTAGTTTTAAGGGTTAATGGTAAATTTAAGGGTCAATTTGATTACTTCAAGAATTTGATGAATTCATGCACTAAGGAATTTTATGATAATTTACTGACGTATTTTATCAATTACGACCTTTCATCATTTAATGTACGAATCATACCGATGACTGAAGCCAAACAAGATTTAATCGAGTTATCAACAAATCCTTTAGATGAATGGATAAATACACATTATGATGAATTGAGTGCAGGTATGACATGTAAAAATGCTCTATTCTGCAAACCATCAGACATGAAAGACAAGAATTTCCAAATGAGCATTAAGGATAAATGTGATAAGAAACAGGTAAGAATAGATGGTAAACAAACATGGTGTTATGTTTTGAAAGAAGAAATGAAAGGATTATATAAACAGGTTGAACCAAACGATAATGAGGATTCATTTACTGACGATGAAATACCTGTAAATGAGGCAGTATAAAGTATGATTGGAATTTATTTTTGCATTAATCCTCCTGTGTTGTCAAAATGTCATGTTGTCTCATTTTTTCAGAGAAGTTAAATAACCGAGTGACACATGGTGACGTAGTGACACCTTCAGTTATTCAAAAATAATTCATAAGTGCCTTCCTCATTAATCCTCCTGTGTTGTCAAAATGTCATGTTGTCTCATTTTTTCAGAGAAGTTAATTAACCGAGTGACACATGGTGACGTAGTGACACCTTCAGTTATTCAAAAATAATTCATAAGTGCCTTCCTCATTAATCCTCCTGTGTTGTCAAAATGTCATGTTGTCTCATTTTTTCAGAGAAGTTAATTAACCGAGTGACACATGGTGACGTAGTGACACCTTCAGTTATTCAAAAATAATTAATTATTGAATAACCTGAAAACATTAACGTAAACATTATTTTTGGGTCATTTACACTCATTACGATGAAGTCATGACAAATCATTTCCGGGACTGTTGTCAAAATGTCATGTTGTCACAAACTTTAGAACGGCATAATTTAAATTTTTATTTTTATCATAAATGGATACCCCACAAGCTCAAAATTTACCACGAATCATAACAAGGGAGGAAACGATAAAAATGATGCGAGAACTTGCTAAAAATAACAAACCACTAAAACTGAGAAAATGTGGTTATGCAGTAATGATGGAAAGAGAGATGTTGTCAAAGAGGAATAAAAATTAAATTTGGATTGAGTTTAAAAATTCATCTTTATTAAATTCATCTCTTCCAATCAATTTATTTATTCTATTAAATTCTTTTATTTTTGCTTCACTCAGTTTAAGGATTGAACGGTAAGTTTCTAATTTTTCGATTATTTCTTTATCGTTTTCAACCCCACCGCATTGTGGCTTCTTTTTGTAATAGCATATTTTTGATTTAATTATGTTTAGTTTTTTTTTATATTCATCGTCTGGACTCTTGACTGCTTCGTTGTCACTCATTTCTTACGAAATAAAAAAAATTAAATATTATTTAAATATAATGGAGTAATAAAATAAATCGGAATTTCTATTAATTTATTGTCAACTTCAACTAATGCATTGCCGTTAATATATCTAACAAATTCAGCTATTGTGTCAAATCTTCGTCTTCTTTTTGTCATTGATTTATCAGTTTTTCCATAATCGAGATGAATCAAAACTTTATCCCCTTGTTTAAAATTCATGAGCCCCGAATTAATTTGTTCACGTTTAACATCATTCAACCTTTCCATTTGCTTTCTAATATATTCCCATTCTTTTGAAATATCATTTTTCATTTCCACTGGTTTCATGTTTATAGTTCTATGCCATGTATTATTGTAATAATATACTAACTGCTGTATGATGGAGTCATGATTTCCATCCCAGTATATCTGACCGTTAACCCCTAACGCATCTCTAAGAGTTCTCATTACCGCATCAACTATTTTATTATGAAACGTATATGGAGAGGATGAAAAGAAAATTAATTTGTGGGAAATAATGAGTCATAGCTGCCTGAAATCCTTTATCACCATCACCCCTGATATTATCTACTCTTTCATGATCTAGTAAGTATTGAATAGCTCTTCTTGTTTCCTGTTCTGTTTTCCCTTTCACCGGAATGCAATATAAATATCTAGTGTTAATGTTAATGGCAATAAATAAGTAACGTTTCCTTTTGAATATTCTAAATGATCGATTTCGTATGAATATGGATATGGTGCAAATGAAGGGCGACTAAATTTTTCCTTTAACGGTTGAATTTTTGGGTCAATTGGTTTATTTAATATCTTGAAATCCTTTTTAAAATCTTTTTGCTTCTTTAATGTTTGAAATGGATATAATAAAGTGAATGATGAAGGATTAACTGAAGGAGGAGGTACTGTCGTTGGAGGTTTTGGTATTGCAAGTGGTTTAATTTTATCTGCTTTGATTTTGGATTTCATTCCTTCCTTCATTAATTCTGGATGTATTCTATTCATTTGTTTTAAATATGCTGTATATAAAGGTTTGATATACTTTCCCGCTTCGAGTTTATGTTGAAGGATGAATTCCAAAAGTTGATCTTCATTTAAAAGTCGGGCTGAATATGGTTTAACTAATGAATCATAAATTAAAGCTTGTGCTTCATTTATGGTCTGAAGGACCTGGGTGTTTTGTTCCTTTTGTTTTTGTTCCTTTGGTTTTGCCTTTGGTTTTTGTGGCTCAGGATTATATAATTTATATAATTCATCAATATCTTCTTCTGTTAATACTTTATTTTTGAAATCTTTCAACTGTTTAAGCTGTGATTTAGTTTTTCCCTTTGAATATTCATTATTTTTAATTTTGTCTTTAATTTCAGAAATTATTTTATTATGATATTTCAAAATTTCATTTTTATAATATGGATAATAATATTCCATATCATCACCCGTTATATTATTATTATATTTTTGGAGATATGATTTTAATTCATAATAACTAAGAAATTTTTGATTAAGTACTAAATCAGCAATTAAATTTTTAAATCTGTGTTATCCATTTATATAAAAATAAAATCAATGTTTTAAGGGTGCCCACCTCTTTGAATCATAGTATCAAAACCATCATTAACGGTTCCTTTTGTCTCTTCTGTGGTATTTTATTAAATAAATGGCATACAACATCCATTTTCACAACATACAGCCTTAGTGTGTGCTCCTGTTAATGCAGTCTTACCAATTGTTAAGCGAGTCATTGACCCATTTTTAAGTTGTAAATTAATATTCTGACCATCAAATATCAATTTATCATTTATTATATCCAAATAATTTTTAGGTGTTAATTGTTTATTTTGTCGTAAACTAACACCTTTCATTTTTTGTGCAATCTTTTTAAAATCACTTCCATCAATTGAACCGTTGAATGATGTATAACACTTAGGCATAAAGCAACCATGTTATCACCTTGTTTCTCAATTGCTAAACCCAATAACTTCTTCTCATGTGCTTTTTCTTCAGCTTTATTCTTTAATTTAGGTTTAAATTTCTCATCAAAACAGAAGAAATCAAATGGTGCGAATTTGAAAATGTTTTTATCATAAAATTGTTTATCGTAACAATTGCTTGAAATGCTTGAGTGTTAGGAAGATTTGGGTCGCCAGCGATTGCCCAATAAGATGAATCAGTATCACCTTCAATGAAATGAAAACGATTAACATTCATGCATTTATACATAAAATCATAAATGAAAACCAAATACCAGTATTTTGCGTTATCTAAAGTGAAGAATGCCTCTTGTAAACATGTATCACATCTATAAAATCTATCTTTAAGCATCACTTGATATGTATCCTTCCTATTTCTCTTATGTTTTTATTTGACATACATGCAACGCGTGCCTTCTGTGCATTCATTATTTTAGTCTTTGTGTAATTTGTGTATTCATTGCATCGTAACCATATGATCCATTAAGTGAAATCTTGCAAAATAAACTTTTTCCTTATTTCCTTCTAATTCAGCCTTTTGTCTTTCGTTCATAAATTCTTTCGCAAATTCATTAAAACAAGTGTTTTTAGTAAATGTTAAAATTGATTGAATGTCATCAATGATAAAATGAAATCTGTCTATTAGATACCAAAGATAATAAGAAGAAAATGGTTGATATTGGTTGTGTGTTGATGCTAACTGAGTTAATTTTCTCTGTTTCTGGTCAACTGGTAGATTGTTTGATTTCATGTAATTATACATAAAACTACCAATTGTTTTTTCATCTGTGATAATATCTAAGTTTCTTATTATCGGTAAAAAGTTTATGTAATCATTAATGTATTTTTCATCAATGTGACCCTTTACTCTCGCCACGAATAAAGTATTTTTCTTCTTAATTATTCCCAGTGCTTTTGCTTTCTTTGTTGCTGTATCAAATGATAACACCATTCAATCTTCCCGGCATATACATTTTATGGTCAGTATATTGAATGAAATCATGAGGATTAGATGAAAATGATGAAGGATATAATGAATTAAAATCAACACCAACGAAATGAGTCATAATGTTGTGGTGTCCTCATTTGATACAGTTTTAGTTTCTGGACTATATGAAAGTTTATTAATGTGCGTGATTCCTTTAAGATTAACACGATGTTGAACATTTGATAAACCACCAGTAATTCCATTACGGAGAATGTGATAAGCTTCAACTGAATCTAAAGTCATTGGTAAATTATTTTTAATGCATAATTTCTTAAATTGATTCTTAAACGTTGAACATCTTCATCTTTATTTGATTTTACGACATTGCAATAACAACACATTAACTGACAATTTTCTTTGGTATGTGGTTTTTCATTATCTATTCTATCCAATGTTGGTTTATTTGCATATGTAAACGCTTTACCACACATTTTGCATTTAGATGAAAGGATTAAATCGTGATAGTATTGATAGTCATCCATTGAAACATTATTTTTAGTATCCCTTTCTGCTTTTTCATCTTGTTTCTTATATGAATCAATTTTATATTTCCAATACTTTTTTGTTAATTCAAAACTTGATTCTATCTCTTCCTCAGGATATTTTTCATTAGGATTAAAGTCTTTATATGCTAAAGCGTAACGAATCATTGAAGCATTCGATGATAAAGAAAGATTATGAAGCATGTCAATTTTATAAACAAATGTTTCTTCGATAATTTTATCAATTGGGTCAATCATAATTTCAACGTCTTTATTGCAATAATGAATAAAATATTCTAATCTATTCTCAAAATTTTTAGCATCATTGAGATATATTTGATAATCTGAATCGGATATTGTTTCTTGTGTTAATGCTGAATAAATGAATCTTGAGTGAATGGTTCCTTTTTATATAATTCATCTTCGTAATTCTCCCATGTGATGAATTGATAAGGGAAAAAGGATTTAACACGTGATTTATTGTTTCCGAATCTTGAGTGAATTGGTCTAATGTTCCACCCGCTATATAATTTCTGATGTCAATAAATCTTAATTCATATGGACAGTTTGTTTTCTTTACTATGACTTGCTTAAATTGAGAAGAAGAACCCAGCATTGATTTTATTTTCCATTTTGCAGTGTTTAAATCATGAAGAATTAAATTTAAATCAAACTTTCCTGAATTAAAACCTATGATATTCACTTTATTAAATTCCTCATCTAGAAGTTCTTTAAATGCTTCCTTCTGTTTTTCATTTAATGTATGAGACTTCATTAATTCTTCATATTGTTCAATATTTGATTTAGCAACTAATGAACAGGTTGAAAATAAAAACTCAATCCAATCAGAAATAAAAGAATCACTCGAAGTTAAGCAAAAATTCCTCGTATATGTTTTATCACGGTCTACGACCTCGCCGCTTTGCGGCTTTAATTTAACCATTGATGATACCATGAATGGTTTTAAGTAAGCGTTCAAAGTTGCACACTCAGAAAGTTGTAATTCTTCTTTAGTCTCTAATGTTTCAAAGTCAAAAGTAATATAATATCTTGTCGGTTGATAATATTCCTGCAAATTATGTGCTAATAGCCATTGATATATCTTCTGTTTCGTGATATGTGGTGCATATGGTTGTTGTGTGTTTTGCAATTGAACGTCTTGAATTAATCTTCCATTATTTCTTTACATTTCTCACAATGTTTTAAAAATCTTCTTTGGTTTTTCCTTTCTGGATCATCACGGATAGAATATACTTCTTCTTTGCAAAAGGGGCAAACTTTATATCCTGTGAGTGCTTCAACGTCTGTAATTCTGTCAGCGTGAAGTTTTCCACATGGACTCTGTGTTAATAAAATATTTTACTGTTTCAAATTCTGGATCTATCATTATTGATTCCACTAATGGAAAGTCTACCTTGTTAATGTCTACGTCTTCTGGTTGAGGGTCACAATAATAAAAATCAATATTAACGTTTAACATTCTTGCTAACCTCTCACTTTCTGATGAAATGTCAAATCCTTCATATGCATCTATGGCTTCATTAAATAACTTCTACGAGTTTTAGGATTAACACCATCAGGAATGTTATAGAAGCGTTTAAATAACCTTCTACTTCGGCTCTTATTTGATTATCATTCATTTTAGCTGTTCATTTTTATTCATTATGTAAGAATAAAAATTAAAAAATAAAATAAAAATAAAGTTTATTTTTTTAAAAGTCCGAGACTCAGAGAGTCCAGGGCTAAAGCCCATAAAATGAATTAAGAACACATAAATTTTATCATCTGCGACGTGACGAATACATTTTAATTTACTCAAGAATGCATACCTGATACATTAAATCTAATTCCTGTCTTATTTAATTTCAACTTTGAAAAGGAATGTATGAATAGCTATAAAATGATGAGAAGATGTTTTATGGGTTGCTTCCATTTTTTTCTGAATAAATGAATAAATATAATGCTTATACGTTTTCATATCTTTTATGTCTTAATAACGAAGTGGTATAGACCTTTCCACTTCGTCTTCCTTCGGTGCTGTTCTTTCATATGAAACATTATTGGTATCTTCAACAATGAAACCACAATCACACAAAATTTTATAGGTTCCAATGGTTTCTTTTGATATTTTATCTAATAAATCAAAAACTTTATCAACACCCGTGCATTTATTTAAATAATAATTTGTGTAAATATCATGATCTTCTTTCTTAATCGTATTAGTTGCATATGTCACGTTTTTAAGAGCTTTTTTGAATTTTGCGGAATATAAAGGTGGTGAAAGTAATATACAAGGGTATTTTTCATTATCAATAAATTGTAACTTATGTTTACGAATAAATTTAGTTCCTTCTTCTGAAAGTGTTTCGTCTATTTCACCATCTAATAAATTTTGTGTTGATTCTAAGACATAATTTTTATATCTTTCTTCATGAGATTTCTGAACTTCTGATTCTGAAGCTGGGATATTCATTAAACCCTCTACTTCATTTTCAACTTCTCTTAATTCCTTAATTTTTTCATCTATTTCATCTCTTATTTTTTCCAGTCTTTCAATTTCATCATATTCATTATCTTTAATCCGTTCTTCATAATATTCAGGGAAAACATCAGGTTCTTTAGGTTTTTCTTCTTCAGATGTAGGATATAAGAAATTTATAACATCATCTTTATTCATTTTTCCATCATAATCAAATTCATTTAAAAACTCCGCAAATTTTTTACAATTTCTTAAATAATATTTATCAACTTCATAACCCGCCTCCTCTAATATATCCTTTATTTCCTCATTTGTGAATCCCATTTTTTTAACGTTGTTAGTTGTGACACTCATTTCATACAAAATAAAAAAATAAATTA